AGGGGCGGAGGGGGCGGCCGGGGGTCAGGTGGGTGCGTCGGCTGGTCGCGGCACGGCGGTCCAGGAGGCGCGGGGTGCCGCGCGAGAGCCGCGCGGGCGCGGGCCGGCGTGCGCCCGGCGGCAGGCCGCCGTCCGCAGGCGCGGGCCGGTTGTGGCGCGGGCGCACCTCTTGGCGCACGCCGCGCAGTAGTGCTGCGGGCAGCGGAAGAAGCTGCCGCCGGCGCCCATGTTGCTGAGCGGCAGCAACGCGGCGCACTTCAGGTGGTAGAAGCGCCCGCACCCCCCGGAGGAGCACTTGCGCATTTTCAGGTCCTTAGGGTTCGTCCCGAAGCCGCCGCACACGAAGCAGCGCATGCGGCCCGAGTGGCACTCGGGGCAGAACCAGGGCTCCGCGTCGCCGTCCGCGGCCGCGCAGCGCGCCGCGCCGCCGACGCAGCTGCGTAGGAGGGACAGGCGGACGGCGGGAAGGTGTGTGAGGTGGGGAGTCAACGGAACAAGGTAAGGAGGCTTGTGCGGCCTCAGCTCTGCGGGCGACCATCCGTCATCCATGAGCCACGTGTACTGCGCCACACGCACCCAATGCGATCCAGCCCGCCCCGCCCCGCCCCGCCCGCGAACCGCCGGCCAGCTCACGACATGTGGAACGAGCGTAGGCAGGGTCCTGCGCACAGGACCAGCGCCTCGTTGCCGGCGCGCTCGCAGCTGCTGCATATGTCCGACAGCCAGCTCGTCATGTCCTTGCGGGGAAGCTTCTTGAGCCAGCGAACGCGGTACGACTCCTCCGTGACGCCCTTGACCCGCTTCTTCTGCGGGTAGCGGGCGGCGGCGGCGGTGGGGGGCCGGGAAGGCGGGACGCGGCAGTGGGGGGAGGGTGTGCAGCGGGGGCCGCAGGGAAGCGGGGTGCAGATTAGCCAGCTGCCGGGACAGGAGGGTGGAAGCAGGCTGGAAACAGGGTGGAAGCTGCGCGCCCCAGGACCTTGGGCGCGGCGCAGTGCGCTGCGCACGCGCGAGGGCGACCGGCTATGCCAGGCTGCAGGCCTGTCGCATGCACGCCCCCCAGGGCGCCCATGCGCGACCCTGCCGTCGCATGCGCGCGGCCAGATCACACCCGCGCATCAGCTCGGCGGGTCACCGGCAGCCCCGCTCACCGGTGGCTTGTACTTCTTGGAAGGCCCTGCGCCTCGCGCGGGGTTGCTAGCTCCACGCATGAGGTGCTGCGGCAGCGCCGGCGCTTCGGCCACTGCAGCGCTCTGCAGCAGCTCGGCCGACCCAGAACGCATCTCGCACGCTGCAAGCTCGCTTCTTCCGGCCCTGGGGAAACGCGGGGACAATAATCAGTCCCTAGGTCTGCTTCAGGACTCGTCCTGATTCGCGCGCAGCCCCTCCAACGACAAGCATGACACTAGCACCGCATGCAACGCTGGCCTGCACCTCCGACGTCGCACGTTGAGTCCCTCTAGACGATGCACAAACTTGCAATAACCGCGGTTGTCGGCGTCTGCCGAGCCCGAGCTGGCATGGCCCGCCCGATGGTGAATTGCCGAGCCGGCAACCACGCGCTGCCTGCCTTTCAACAAGATAAATGACCTAGAACCAATCATATCAAGTGATCCTGCCGCTATGCGCCCATAAAGATCATCACCAGAATGGGGATAATCGCCCGGCCATCGCTACCCCAACAAGCGAGGTGGAAGAGAAAACGCGATGGCGGGTCACACGCATCCAATGATGGTTTCTTGCACCACACGAGTTCGACCCCACCGTATTGGAATGCATGGCTGTGTGGGCGACTTCCAAGGATGAGGGATTGCGGTTGTTACAGCATCCCGCGGTCGCCCGCTCCTGGAGCCATCCAGGCTCATGGGATATGACTTGGTAGCATCACCACGGGCGGTGTGACAGATAAACAGACAAGTTACTCATGCCACAGCATCACTGCCATCGGCCCCGCATTCATAAATATTGTGTGTCCATAAATATTGTGGTCGTGTTGCTCCTTCGCCTCAGTCGACTCTGGCAGAGGGAAACAGGTGAGGACCAGCTTCCCAGCCACCTCCAGCATGTATGACCACCGACCCCTTGACTCCTTGACTCCTTGACTCCCAGGGGAAAGAATCACTAAGCAACAGCTGCGTCCAGGATTGGGGGCGTAACCTTCAACCGTGGTGGGACAAGATGTTTCACCCAAGTCGCCTGCACGCAGTGAGGCGAACTGCGTTACCGCGTGGTGCCTGAAGGAGCTCACCACTGTTGACACCCTCACTGCATTGTTGCACGCAGCAGTGTGCACAAAGCATGTGGGGGCTGCCACTCCACCGGACAAGAAGTATGCTTGGAATAACACCGGGCCCAAACGTGCGCGCTGGTGGGCCCAGCAGGTGTTGAGCGGCGGCTCGTCGTCATCTCACAGCACGATTGGATTCACTTCCGGAAGTGCAGCGTTTGGACAGTGGGATTAGATGGACCGCCTGTCCAGAAGGAGCGAGGCACCAGGGTTCGGAGAACCACCAGAAAGCAGGCACTCAGGTAGCAGCAATCCTGCCTCAGGGAAAGCGCAGTCGACGGGGCGCCGCGCAGGACCACTGCTCGACGACCCCAGGGCAGGGACCAGACCAGCTGCAAGCGTCTGCGCGTGGGCCCTTGGCCCGTGGCCGAGGTTGCGGACGGCACAGTGGTCTGTCTCTTGTACGGTGCGACTTTTGCGTGAGAGGCACGGAGGGGGCACACGAGGGATGCGGCGCCGCCCAGCGCGCTGCTGCCATTGCAGGTGGACGGGACGCACGCAGCTGGCGGGACCTCCTGATAGGTGCCGACTGCCGCGCCCTTTGCTGACGATGTGCGGCCTGAAGGGCGCGGCCCTAGCAGACAAGGAAGTCTGCCCTCGCTGGAAGAGTGGTCGAGGCTTCCAGTTGCGGTGGCGCACCCGCTCGGGGGTGTAATGTTTGAATCGCGCTGAGCTGGACAGCCAGGGCGCGAGCGCGCCAATGCCATGCTGGCAGCCGTCCTCGCCGGCCAAAAGCGCCTGCTGTTAGCCAGGGCGGCGGCATGCGGCCACGCAAGGGGGAAGGCGCAAGCAGGCGCTGCTGCCGACTGTGCGCTACTGCTTGGCGCGCAGGGCCCCCATGCCCCGGCCACCCACTCACGGCATCGCCGCATGGCATGGTATACGAGGCAACTACAAGCACATTACTCCATGCTATTGTTGGCGGCGCGTGCAGTTCTCATTCGCGTCCCAAGCTGTAATCTGGCACCGGAATGGGGTGAAGCCAACAGCTGTGCATCAACACCACCACCATCGGGCTGGGGTCGCAAGGAGTGGCTGCTGTCGCTCTGCATAGACGCTGCAGCTCCACACCTTTGACGCTGTCAGCCGTCACACTCTGCTCACTCCCAAGGTCCAAGCCGCAGCGGGGCTCGAAAGCAGCGCCCCAATGGCCTGCAGCAGGTGCGCCAGTCAGCAGTGGGTGTGGGCGCTGTGGCACCACCTGCTGCATGGCTGGGTGGTATCTGTGTTGGACCCAGTTGTTATGTACTACATGTTTCACACAACTGCGCGCCGCCTCCGCCTCCAGCCTCGGTGCAGAGCACAAAGCAGGTGGCCAGATCGATGCTGTATCAGCAGCGGCACAGTGGGGTATGTGGAATAACGACTGAGAACGTTTGTGCGATTGGTTTTCACAAGCATGGTTTACAAAGGTCCCTTTCTAACGGAATATTCCGTATACGCAACTACGGTACCGGTACTCCTGGTGCACTTCGCCGCCTCAATAAGACACCAGCCTGGCCAACTACAAAGCAACCTAGGGTACGGTGTTCGCCCCCACCACCTCATCTTTGTCTCGGTCGACAGGGCGGCAGCGGCAGCGACCAAGGGCGCTCATTGCCATGATGGGCGAGCGGCAGCGTCAGCAGCGCCCTGCAAAGCCTAAACAGGACCTTGGCGAACAGATTGAGGACCCCTCCAGCTTTGGAATGCGGGTGCGCAAGCATCCGCCGCCTGGACGCTGCTTCGCCCCGCCTCGCGCCGCCCGCCGCCGCCCGCCCCGCCGCCGAGCAGCCAGCCGGCGCCGCCGCCTGGCCACAACTCGCCTCGCGCGCCCGCTCCCACGTTTGCACACCCTCCCCTCCGCCAGGCCAAGCCGCGCGCGGGCAGCAAGCGCGGGCGTGGGGCGGCGAGGATGACTAGGCGCGGCAGGCGGCGCTGACTCACGACAGCAGCGTGCACACGGCAGGCGCGGCATGCAGCAGGATGAGGTCAACGCTGAGCTGGCGGCAGGTGACGGCGACAGCGATGGTGACGCCGGGCCAGGCAACCTGCGGATGAGACGGGGGTGGGGCTCGCAGGGGCGGAGGGACCCCGGGCACGCCCGCGCGCCGCGTGCGCACTTGGACCGAACCGCTCACCCGCCGCTGCGGCGCCGCAGCCGAGCACAATGACTTGGAACGGCTGCGTGGAAGGAGAAAGGGGGGGGGCGCGTCCTAGCAGGGGCGTGCCGTGGCCTTCTGGAGTTGCTGCAGTGCGGCCCTGCGGCGCGGCTCAGATTGTAAAGCCCGACCTGCAGGCGCCCCTAAAGCCAAAGGGTGCGCGAAGACCAAGCCTGCGGCCGGCCTGCGCCGCGCGCCGCGCGCCGCGCGCCGCGCGCCGCGCGCCGACCCCCTCTCTTGCGGCGCGCCCGCCCACGCAGACGAACGCGGGCGCGCAAACGCGGCGCTGCAGCGGCTGGTGGCGGGCGGCAGCAGCGAGGAGGGCAGCGGCGACGGCGAGGGGCGGCTCAGCGACAGCGACTCCCTTTGGGGCGCAGGGGGTCCGCAAGCGGCGTGCATCATGCCCGTCGCGTGGCACCAGACGCTGCTCTGCTTCAGGCAGCGCCACAAGGCAGAGGTCCGCGCCGCCGACCGCAACGCGCTCCGCCGCTTGTACGCGGCGCGGCAGCACTGCCAAGTGGCGCCCGAAGCGCTTTGGGATCTGGACCGCTCGGCGCCGCGCGAGCAGCGGCGGGCGGAACGGCAGCGGCGGGAGGAGGCAGGCAGCGGCGGCGGGCGCGAGCGCGGGCGTGGGGTTGTTTGGATCCTTTTCATTTACTGCGGCAGCAGCGGCGGGGGCGAGGGCGGGGCTTTGGGCGGCGGCGGTTGGTCAGCACGTGCAGGAGACCCAGCTAGCCTCTTGTTGCTTGTTTGCGGCTGGTCGGGGCCTTAGCAGCTGTGTTTTACCGGTATGTACCTTTTAATGCACGTATTGATGTCGTGCTGGACAATTGGGAGAAAGCTCTACATACCTACCACCCACCCCATCCAGTTTTTCCAACCGATGCGGTGTCCTGCATCCATGCGCTGCATGCAACTGCTTCGGTGAGCCATGGTCAAACACGGTGTGGTCATCATCCACTGCCCTCCTGCCTTGGCCTCCCCTTCTGAGTGATGATGTAACTCATGTAGCAGTTGTATTATGTATATCCGATTCTGCTGGGCCCTGGCGGCCCAAGTGCCAACTAGGTCGGAGCGCGCCGCTGTTTACGTGATGCGATTGCAGCGCCCCCTGGGCTCCCGTCGACATCCGCCAGGGGGTTTCTGTGCAGCAGCTGATGCAGGGAAGGGCATTCTTTCGTATCGGGCTCCAGGGTGAAGGGCTCGCGCCCAATCAAGCCCAGGACAAGCCACCCTCGCGTCCCTCCACACACACCCAGCGGTCCAATAGATCAGTCTCGGCCACTACGCAGTGAATTCCGCCGCGCAGCGTGTGCGCTAGACATATTAAAATGCAAACGACGAGGCAGCTGGGTGCAAGGGCACGCCACTGCCCCCAACAAGTTTGGACCACCTCGGGGGCTCGTCGCCCCACCCTTCTGCGCGTAGCATCCCAGAGCGACGTGTGTTCAACGCGGACTACACCATTATGCGAGACCGTGTCGGTCAGCAAGTCTCGTCGCACACAGGCAAGGCGCCGGTTGCAGGACGTCTTGCTGGGGACACGCGGCTTGTGCACAGCACCACAAGCCGCCGCAGCCGCGGGCTGCATGAGTGTGATTGTGCATGCAAGCCCGACACATTCGAGTGAACCCATTCGACGCACGTCTATGGCTGACCGCCCGGCAGTGCTCTTTGCAGCAACCGAAGCGCTGCAGTGCACGCATGCATGCCGCCGCAGAGATCCATGCAGCGAGCGCCCGCGGCGCCCGCCGTCAGCAGCACCCCACAGCCCCGCCACGCCTCCCATGCGGCAACATGCGAACCCCCCTAGGACCCCGTGCTGCGCGCCAAGCTCAAGGCGCACTCGGCGTCACTCACAGCGGCGCTCGTCGTGGTGGACGAACCAGGTGGGCGCCCGCCCCGCCATGCTCCATGCCGCGCTCGCCGCCTGCGGCTGCCGCACGCCATAAGCTCACGCCGTGAGCGACCGCGGGAGCCCGACAGCCGCGCCGCGCGCCGCGCCTCATCGCCCCTCCTCAAGGGTTTAAGGAGATTGCCACCGCGAGTCTCGACAAGACCCTGGCGACCTGGCGGATCGAGGTGCGCGCGCGCGCTCGGCCCCGGGGCCCCCGCCACGCAGCCAGGCCCCGCCGGGCCACGGCCTGCCTCGTGGCCCCCTCCCAACGCGCCTGCGGCGGCGCACGGCCGCGCCCTCGACGCGCGACGCGGCGCTCAGCTGCTGCGCCCACCACCGCCGACAGCCCCTCCGGCTCACGCCCCCTCTACCGGGCCCGCGCCCTCGCCGCTCCTGCCGCAGCCCGACCTTGAAGTCCCGGCCATTGCGGCGCAGCGCAACGAGGTGGTGGGCGCCCCTGTCTTTGCCCTCGTCCCCGCCACCACGCCCGTCAGCAGCAAGCCCAGCGGCAGCAGCAGCCCCGGCGGCACGCTCGGCGCCGACAGCAGCGTCGGGCCGGTGTGGTGCGGCCTGGCGACCAAGGAGATCGCCAGCTGGCAGCCGGGCAGCGCGGCGCTTTCAGAAAAGATCCGCATGAACGGCCACACGGGCTGGGTGCGGTCGCTGGCGACGAGCGGCCGCTACCTGCTGTCCTGCGGCTGCAACCACCTGCGCCAGTGGGACACCACGTACACCATCCCCAAGGAGGTGTCCTCGCACTCGCTGTTCACGGGCGACATCCTCGCGATCGCGGCGGCGGGCAAGCGCGTGTTCACCGCCGGGGCAGACGGCAGCGTGCGCGCGTGGGCGCTGGGCAGCAAGGGGAAGGAGGGGCGAGAGGGGGAGCTGCGGGAGCTGGCCAGCCGGGAGAAGGCGCACGACGGGCGCGTGACGGCGCTGGCAGCGGCGGGCAGCCTGGTGTTCTCGGTGTCTTACGACGGCCGCATCAAGGTGCGCGGGGGAGGGGCGCGTGTGTCTAGACGATAGCCTTGTTTGGAGTGTTCTCGGCTCAGGGTTGAGAGTGGTTCGGCTTTGCCATGCGCAATGCTTTCATCTGCAGAGACGTTAAATGGCTTTTTTTGGTTTGTTGACGGCCGCAGCTAGGTTCGAGGGGGGGGGGCTGTCACGGGGGCGCCTCGAGGCGCAGCGGGTGTGCAGAACAGCAGGCGGTCAAAGGGGCGCGGGTTGCAGGTGGGACGCGGCGCGCCGCGTGCGGACTGCAGCGGCCTGCGCCGTCGAGCCTGCGCCCGCCTGGGGGCCGGGCGCCCTGCGGCCGCCGCGGCGCCTGTGCCAGGCCCGCGCCCATCTGCCCACCCCCCATTCTCTGCCCTGACGCGTCGCATGGGTGTCCCTTCTGAATTTCACCGCCTCACCCTTGAACTGCCGCCATTTCGGTCCACCAAGCCGCCTCCATCACCAAACCGCCGTCACCCCCAGGGCTGGGACGTGGAATCCCTGAACCTGGTCGTCAAGCGCTCCGCCGCCCACAACGGCGCGCGCGTGCAGTGCGCGGCCATCGGCGGCGACGGCCTGCTGTACACCGGCGGCGACGACGGCCTGGTGCGGCGGTGGGACCCCGTCGAGCTGCAGCCGATCGGCGAGCCGCTCGACGCCCACGGCGGCCACAGCGTGCGCGTGCTCGCTGCGGGCCGCGGCGGCGGGGACTGCCTCGTGTCGGGGGATGCAACGGGCGAGGTCGCGGTGTGGGCGGTGTGACGGGCGAGCCCGCGCGGTGCGGCGGCTGCGGCGGCGGCGGGTCTGGCTGCGGCGACCCTTCTGATCCTGGGGCATGGCCGGCGGCGTCCCGCGGGACTATCCCGCACGGAACTCACCCTCGCAGCGCGCGTTTTTTTTCTTCCCTGAGTCGCGCGTCGGCCTCATGCTCGGCACATAGCGACGACCTTGCAAGTTTTGAATCCGGGTTCGCCCCCGGGACTGCCCCGGATTGGCCGGGGGCATGGTTTGGGCGCTGCGCCGTCGCGCGCCCGACCGTGCGCCGGGCGGTCGCCGTCGCCCTGGCGTGGCAGTGCTGGGGACGGCGTTGCTCGCCTGTTGTTGCTGGCCAAGCGCGCGGATCGCCGCCCCAGCCCCACAGCACTGCTACACAGGCCTTATTTGTCGTCCCATCCAGGATGGTGTGTGTGTGGAACTGTGTGTGTGGATGTGTGTGTGCGTGTGTCAGTCCGGGCGCTCGCGCCGCCGCCACGCGCGGTGGCCATCTGCCTTCGTCCGTCTGGCGCCAAGCCCTCTTTGCTCCCCATGTTGCCCCCTCCCCGCTCCCGCCTTGGCGGCCCTTGCTCCAGCTGTTGTAGTGCCGATTGCCGGCGGATGCCTTTAGAGCCATGAGCCCTCGGGCCCCGCTAGACCTCAACGGATGGGAGCCAAAACCACAGCAGCGGCAGGCACGCACGCAGCCGCGCACGAGGCCGCCCGCGCGCGCCGCGCGGGCATCGGCGCCACCACAACACAGGCACCCGGCGCGCCCTGCCCCCCTCGCATTTCTGGATTGCCGCTCAAGGTTGCGCGGCGGGGCGCGCGCGGGCGCCCGGCCTCTCTTGCCGTCTATGCGCAGTTTGGGCCCGGGCTGGGGGCGTCCTGGCTGCCTTGGTGCGCCACCTTTCGCCTTTGCATCCCCCACCTCAATCCTCACCCCCGATTCATCTCACGGCCGGAAGGGCCGACCACCCATTGGCCTGGAGCCCCCGTCTTGGTCCCTGCTGCCGGAAAGGGCAAGGGCCGGGCGCTTGCCGCGCCCGCCTGGCACCCCGCGCGCGCGCCCGCGCGCGCGTTTGCTGTACTGTACTCGCCTCAGCGCCCCGGCGCCCGCCCCCGCCGCCGTCACTCGCCGACGCACAGCTGGGTGTGCGCAGCACGCAGCGCGCAGCCTGTTCACGTAGCATTTCCCTTTATGGCGGCCGCCTTGGGCGCTCTCCCCGCAAACCCTGCGCGCCGCGCACGCGCACGCACCACGCGAGCCTCGTCATTGCTCCACGGGCGCTGTTTGCGGCCCTGCGTTCACCACGGCCGCCGCTGGCGCCAGGACTCTCCTCCCTTTCAGGGCCTGCTGCTGCCCTGACCGTTCAAAGAGGGATCAGCAGGAGCGATCTGGGTCGAGGGCCTTCCCGGCCCAACGCAAGCGCTCGCGCCCGCAGGAGCATATGGGTCCGGCTGAAGCTGCACCCACATGCCGCGAATCGGCGTCGTAAAGTGGCATTTCTAGACTCTAGATGTTTCAAACGCGTTGGCTGCGTTGCAGCTGACTCTTTAGAGAAGGAAGCCGCGGCAGTGAGGGCGCACCGGCCACATTGTGGGATGGCGTTTCCTTATGCGGGGCCTCCAGCCCCTCTCGCCGCGCCGGCCTGGGCGGCGGCGTGGGCATGAGGCAGCCATTACTGTGTGTAGGTTGTGCACGCGGGAGTTGAGCCGCTTGTCAGGCGCACGGCAGGGCGGAGCGTCACCCGCCACCTCTGCAGGCCTGCGGCGAGCAGTGGCGCTCCATCCTTGGCGACTGGTAGTGTGCGTGTTTTCATCCCTTGACAACACGCATGCCTTTATGGATGGGTTTGCTGATGCACCGGCAGGCCCACACGCATGCGCCATCATGGGGCGAACCCGGCGCCTCAGCCCCCCCCCCTCCGGGCCATCCATTGGGACAAGAGCTGCAGCGGCCTCTCATGCGACCTGCCGCGCCCGTCGCTCGTCCCAGGTGCAGAGCGGCCGACCTGCTGCAAGGAGTGATTGCAAACCCCAACGCGTGCGAGCGCTGCCTGCCCCTTGGGGGTGGCCGCCCCGCGGCGTCATGTATCGTTGATCTGTACTCGACTCACAAAAGCACAACACGCACCTCACGTATTCGCCACCACCGCCGCCGTCACCGTCGCCGTCGCAGCAGAGCAACTTCCCTTTGATGCAAGCGTGCCGTTTGTGTATCGCGCCGGGGCCTACAATACACGTGCATGTTGTCACCCCATCGTTTGCCGCCCGCCCGTTGATTTGCGCGCGCATGTCCTTCGCGCGCCCCGGTGCTTAGAAACTGGCAGATCCCCTCGGCAAACGCTCGTCGTTACGTTTTGCCGTTGATCCGAGTAATCCGCGCAGGAAAGTGGCACTGATGCATCTGGCTGCCTTGTGCAGGGAAAATGCTGCTTGCTGCTGTTTGCTCTGTCACGGAAGGGCAGATTAGCCCCCCCTCCCACCCACACACACACCCCTTTGATGCCAGCTGGTGGCATGGCCTGGTGAGGTTCTTGTCAAAGGCAAGGGGGTGCGAGCGAATTCTCTGCAAAACACCGGCAGTTGGGATTGATGCGCGAAAAATGTAGTTGCCCAGGTGCTTGTTGGCGCGCCCAACCTCCTGTTGCGTGCCGGGTGCGTCAGAGCTGGCAACTTGGGTGGTTTGGCGACGCCAGGTAATGCGCTTACCTCCGGCTGGCCAGCCACAGCTTCCAGGTTGCTCCTCATTTATTCAAGTGCGTCCTGGCTGTCCCTATACATGCATGTCGATGCAATCGAGCGCTGACAGGGCACGTCTAGATTCGTAATGAGCATGTGGCCCCCGTGCGCATCACATTTGCGCACGTGGGTTTCCAACCATATACGGATACCTTGCAGCTGATTTGATCGTGAACGGGAACTTTTACGAAGTGTGCATCGAGCGAAGCCAGCCCTTTCGATCTATAGTTTTGTACACAGCCACTATGGTCGCTTCGAAGCTGCAGACTTCCCGAGCCAAGGGCCTGAGCGCAAGCCTCGGCGCGCAGCAGCCCCTGCCGGTACAACACCGCCGCAGCATGTGCCGCGTTGTCGCCCATGCCACACGTGCCGTCGCGGTCGACGCCGCCGTCGACGCGGCCCCCAAGCAGTCCAAGTGCCCCTTCGCCGGCCTTGCCTCCTTCCTGCCTCACGAGACCGTCCGCGCGCCGCCCACGCCCGTCACCAAGGCCGGGGGCCCCGCCTTCTCCAACCCGCACCTCTGGCTCGCCGCGGGCATGCCCGGCCAGAACATCCCCAACCGCCTGGTGTCAGGGCTGAGGAAGCTCGACCTCAAGGAATTCCTGATTGAGCTGCCCCATGAGATGCCGCACGAGCTGGGTCTCAAGAAGCGGTGGGTGATCCGACACAGCCCGCAGGGACCAGGGGCGGCCGGCAGGACGATCTCCATGTGTTCTGCAGGGCCCTCGAGCTGGATGGCATTTCGGCTGCGGCTGCTAGGCAAGCGGCCAAGGCTCCAGCTGGAGCCCCATTGGGCGCGCTCTAGCCTGATCGCCGCATCTCACCTGACGTGCAGCCCGCTGATTTGCCCGCTGATCCCTGCTGGGCCTGCTTTCCCCGCCAAACCAGTCACGCCCATTCGTCTCCCTGCCCTCCAACCCCCACCTCCATGCACAGCGCCCTGGCCGACCCGGCCCGCCGCCGCGAGTGCATCGCCTGCGAGCCCTCCAGCCTGCTGGCCCAGTGGGAGCTGCTGGAGGTATTCCTGGAGCACCTTCCCAGCCACTTCCCGAACCTGTACACCGTCAGGGGCGAGGGCGACGACCGCACTGTGGAGGTCCACCCCACAGGGGACGTGTACAGGGTGGGCGGGGCTGAAAGCAACTGTCGAGGGCGCGCCTGGCGTTGTGATGGGGAAGGGCGTTGCCTGGCTCATGATGTGCCCTGGCCATGCTGACGCTGCTGTTGACCCTCGCGCACCGACCTCCAGCTTTGTGGGGTGTTATGTTGATTGTCTACAATATTGTCACTGACTCTCGCAAGCGCGCACAGTCGCGCACGCGCGCGCAAGTGCACGCACGCACGTGCGCGTGCGTGCACACACACACACACACACACACACACACACACACACACACACACACACACACATTTGCATGCACACGCACACACACTTTTGCATACATACGTACACGCATGTGCACACACACACACACACACACACACACACACACACACACACATGCACATGCACATGCACATGCACATGCACATGCACATGCACCTTTGCAGGTCAGCGACTACGTCGAGTGCCCCCTGGAGCTCTGCAACCTCATTGTACAGGTGACACACCGCCAATCAACAGGCTTGCGATTGCAAATCTGGCCGCCAACTTCTGCAACCAACGCCCGAATGATTTTGAACTCATCAGAGTTTGCAGGCAGTTTTCGTCTCTTCCCAGGGCTTTGGCATTGACTTGTCATGCAAAACTGCAGCCTGCCTGTGCACTTGCACCCCCAGCCACAACAGTGCCTGGTGCTGCATTGTGCCCACCTGCCAGCACCCCTGCCTGGTGTGTTCACTCCACCCCAGGAGGACCTCGTCCTGTGCCGCCCCGACCCGCCGGAGGGCGTCGACATGAACGCCCTGCCTAAGGGCGCGGCCGTCCCGCACGTTATGAGCGCCGCCGTCGTGGTGCGTTTGGGCGGGCGTACGCCCGACCCGGGGGCGGGGGGCGGCGGGTGCAGGGGCGGAGGCACGCCGGAGCGGCAGCAAGAACGCGCGGGTGCCCTCGACTCTCCTGCCCGTCTGTTTTTACTTGCTGAATGTACCCTGCAAACCCTCTCCTCCAACACCGCCCATTTGCCCCCTCGATCCCCCCTCTCACCACCCGCAAAAACATCTCAACCGCCGCCACAAGGTGTTCTCCTTCAACGACCTGCCCCAGAAGCTGTCGCAGCCCCTCCAGTTCATCCACGCCCCCGTCCCCGGCTTCGAGGACCAGCTCCTGCCACTCGTGGCCAAGACCTTCACGGCCATCACCCCCGCCACCCCCCTCTGGCGCAACAACTGGGCGTTTGCGGACAACGGCGACCTCGACCGCCCCGTATACGGCTCCGACGACGCCGCCGCCAGCCGCCTCGCGGCCGCGGGGCTCGCGCCGGAGCAGCGGTGGCTCAAGACGGAGTACCAGACGCTGCGCCGCCTGCCGGCCAGCGGTCACGTGCTGTTCACCGTCCGCACGTTTGTGGAGCCGCTCCCGGACATCGCGGCCGCGCCGGGCGCCGCCGAGGCGCTGGCTGGGAGCATCAGGTGTCTCACGCCCGCCATGCTGGCCTACAAGGGGCTGCCGACCGAGGAAGCTGTCGGGAAGGTGGTGGAGTACCTGGACGGCCTCGCGGCGGCTGACGAGGCGGCCAAGGGGGCGTAGCGCGGCGCTGGAGTAAGTCGGGGAGTGGGCGAGGCTCGCTCTGAGATGCCTGCAAGCACGAGCGCGAGCGCGCACATGCTACGGCCCCAGCAGGCCGGGATGTGTCGTTCAAGGGAAGACAGCCGGTTCTGGCATGGGGGCGGCGGAAAAGCCGCCGGTGGTGGCGCTGGCACCCGCTGTCGGTGAGGACGAGACAGCAGGCTTTTGCAGGGGTCGGTGTTTGGGATTTGTGAGGGGCAGGACGGGGCCTGAACAGACGAGATAGTCGGAGACAACAGCACATCCACCATAAGGACCCCACACCGCGCTGCGTGCAGCAGCGCTGGTGCGGGTGCGGCGTCGCCCTCGTCGCACTCTCTAGGAGGGAGCGTGCACCCTGTATGACTCGGAACTCGCCTCACTGCGAGCGCACCGCCACGCAATTGGGCCGCTGTTGGTTCGCGGCTGCATCACGCCTTGCACTTGTATGCAATCACGCCCGGTGTGCAATCACTTGGGTGTCTGTTTCATTTTAAGAAGAAGATTCAACCACGTGCGAGTTCTTCCTGCACTGTGCCGACCTGCGCACGGCGTACCATACCCACCCAAGACAGTGCAGCCGCGGGTTGGCCCCACATGACCCAACCCCTTGTATTCAAGAGCGCTACCAAGTGTTGTGAATTCTTCATGCATGGCTTCGCGTGGTGTCGAGCACTGGAGTGTGACTGTCTGCGGTCAACGTGCCCGCTTTGTTTGCCGCCCCATGGTGGCACGTCCAAAGCGCAGCACACCGCGTGTGAATTTTCAGCACAGCATCCGGCCTACCCCCAGAGAGCGGTACCTCTGTGCAAATGCAAGTGTTTGTAGGCCCACTGTGCCTCTATCAGGTGTTGTGTGTAAGAACCACGCTGCACCGACGGCACCGTCAGGTTGTGTGTGGCGTCACAGACCACTGCCAGTCAAAGTCTCTCACACTTTGACAGTTTGTGTGGCAGGTGGCCACTGATATTAATGGGCTCAGGCAGCACATTGGGCTGGCACAGCATGCAGGCAGCACCTACATCGAGCGCACCGGCAGGAGGCAGCAGTACCGTGGCTCTTGCTTGAACAGCGGATGCGCGCCCATGAATGCATGCGGCATGGCAGCACCACTGTGGCGCTGGAATTTTGATGCGATCGTGAGTCTTGCAGGTTGTAAAATATCATGAGATCAACCATAAACGGCTACATTATATTCCCTAGCTTCATTCAGCTTGCTCAACACCGGCAGTTGCAGGTGCCCCAAGCTGCGAGAATGGCTGCAAGTATAAAATGTTGATACGAAAAACAAGCTGGTCAAGGCCATGACGCCAGGCACGGCGGATCGTCCGTCGCCGCACTCGCCGTCGGCGAACAAAATGCGCGGGTCCCCGCGTGCGCCGCATGCCGCATGGGCCGCGGCGGCGCGCCTTGCGGCATGCGGTAAGCGTCAGCCACAGTATGAAAACCTGGATGGCATTGCGCACACCCTTGAGGACCTCGCGCACGATGGCGCCGCGCCGCCGCGCCCAGAGTTGATGGGGGCAAGGTGCGCAGAGTCAGCAGCATTGACTGAGCACCAGACAGCACGTCCCGCTGGCAGGCAATGAAGACGACACACGGAAGTGCCAAGCAAGCCCCACGTCCTGCCGCTCTCTCCATGCTTCCCATCAATGGCTGGCTGCCACGCACGCCTCTGTATGTCCCACCCATGCGCAGGCACCAGCAGCACGCGGGCATCCACCGCTTCGGCGTGCCCCTCAAAAACACCCTGGTGTACTACGGCGATGTCTTCCACACGCTGTTGCACGTGCGTGGCCCGCGCAAGAAAACCACAACGCTTGGACGGCGGCACGCTGTGGATCGCCACAACCAGGGGCTTCAAGCAGCCGCTGTCGTGTCGCAGCGGGGACATCATTTGCGGCCGGGCGCGTTCCGGCCCTCATTCAACGCGGAGCCTCAACCCCCATGCCCCCCTTCCACACACACACCTTGCCCCTGCGCCTTACCTCCGCAGCTGCCGATCCACCGCTTTGTGGCCATCTTCTTCTCGATATACATAGCAGAGTACTGCCTCTTCGCCCTGCTGTACCTATGGCAGCCCGATGACTGCATCGAGGGCGTCCGCCACTTTGCCAACGCTCTCTGGTTCAGCGTGCAGACCGCCTCCACCATCGGTGCGCCCCCAAGCTCTCGGCACGCGCAGCTGGGCGCCGGCTGGGGCGGCGCTGGGCAGTGCCGGCGGCAGCTGGAGAGGCGGCGGGGCGAGCGTAGTGGCAGGTCGCCTCATGGATGCCAGCAGTGGAGCGTAGTGGCAGGTCATCACGGGCCATACCAAGTCCCGACACCACGCAACTCACGCCATGCCCTTCAATTTTGATGCGCCTTGTGTTCACCTTTCAAAACATGGGGACCAGGCTATGGCAAGATGGCGCCGAGCCAGCACTGCCCGGGGGCGAACTCAGTCGTGATGGTTCAGGCCATCACGTCATCACTGGTTGACTACTGCATGATGGGGGTGGTGTTTGCAAGGTGCGTGGGTTGGCGTGTACGTGAGCAAGTTGTGTGTGCATGTGTGCGTGTGCGCGCACGTGTGCGTGTGCGCGCATGTGTGTGTGTGTGTGTGTGTGTGTGTGTGTGTGTGTGTGTGTGTGTAAACACGTGCATCTGTGTGCCCGTGCACGCTTCTGTGTGTGCTTATGCGGGTGTGATGCACGAACGCGCAGCAGGTACACTCTTTAACACAGCCTGCTGCACACGCCGCGCACTCATCAAGGCGCAACCGAGAGCCACGTGGGTTACTGTGCCACGCTGAGCTGCGCACCCTTCGCGAACTCTCAAACACCACGTCTTGCCTCATGCCCAGGTCTTGGACACTGCTCCGCCCCCCTTTACAGGTTCTCATCCCCATCCAAGCGCGCCCTGAGCATGCGCTTCAGCGACAGTGCCTGCATCCACCGCGGCCCGGACGGCCTCTGGCGGCTGTCTTTCCGGCTGGCCAACATGCGCAAGCACCTGCTGATGCAGCCAAACGTGAGATTGTGCGGATGGGGCAGGATGAGATGGGGTGGCCCGACTTGGTGGTTGTGGACACGAGAATGACAACACCTGTAGGGCCTGCAAACCCTGAAGGCACAGCAATTCTGGGGCAGATGGCTGGCAACGAGGCAAGAAAAGGCAATTACACCAATAATCAAGGCGGCCCGATCTGATCAATGTGGGTCATTTTCATTCATGTTGTGGTTAGACTCCCCTGCTCCCATTCTCCCCAAGGACAAATCTTCAGCCCAACCTCATCACTCCCCCCCCTCCCCAGACAAACACACGAACACACTACCAACCCGAATACCTCATCACACAAGCGCCTGACAAACCCACCCCCCAACCCGCCACCCAACTCACAGGTGCAGGTCTTGCTGGGCGTCCCTGACGGCCCGGGGCGCAGTTCCTTCGCATTTGAAGAGCTGAAGTTGGAGGGCCTCCTCTCGTCCCTCACAAACATCAAGCTGGGGCTCGCTGCCACGCTGACTCACGTCATCGACGCGGGGAGCCCGCTGTGGCGGCTGTCGGTCGCTGACATGGCGGCGTGTGGCATGGAGCTGCTGGTTTTCTTGGATGGGGTCGATTCGACTTCCAGCACGATACAGGTCGGGTGGTAGCTGCAGCAGTGGGCCTCAATGTGCCACTAGCTTTGGATAGGAACTGTGGGATCAGGAACAACGAGAGTTGGAAAGGGCTGCATGGCAGAGGCTGCATGGCGGTTGCTGCCCTGTCTCGCTCGATGCTGGCTCGTATGCTGCGTGTGTGGGAGGATTCATAACATGCTTGGTTGGGTGCGGACCTGCCCGGCCTTGGTTGGTGCCAGGCCTTGACTGGTAGCTGCCATGCCAACATTCACAGAGGCAGGCACCACCCAAGCAGCACGCCTCAACCTCTTGCCATACAACTCTCAACCAGGCGCGCCACCACTACTACTCCGGGGACGTGCGCATGAACGAGAGCTTCGCTCCTCTCTCCATGATGGTCAAGGGGGACAGGCTGGGGCTGGACTTTTCAGATTTCGACACAACAATCAGTACGGGTGGGTCGTCTGTCGGGTTTGTGAGCACCTGCATGCGTTCTTTTGTCGTCAACCTTGGATGCAAGCTCCGTGGCAGGGCCGCCGCACCGACGTCTGCAGTGATCCAGACCGTAGAGAGCCCTCTGCAGCGGTCTGCCACCAACATGGTGCGCAGCAAGACACCAATGCGACTACCTCACCTCTGCAGCATTTGACCACGTACGCGGAGGGCCCGCAGACCTGGCCGGGTCAGCAGGCGGCGGCGCCGCAGCGCCACCCAACGCCGTCGTCTGCGACACGCCTTGGGAACCGGGGCAGGCGCGGGTGCGTTCGACGCCTTTCTGCATCCTGACGGCAGCGCGGGGCGGCTGCGGCGGCACGCTGTTCCCCCCTGTCAAGCCACACGGCGGCGCTGCTGGTTGCGCAGAAACGGGGCAGCAGGCAGTGAGGCCACAGCAGCCGGCAGGTGTCGGAGTGGGGGTGGCCGCTTGGCAAAAGCGGCCGCCGTCGTCACCAGGGCATGCACAGGGCGCGCATCTGGAGGGACTTCCTGGTTCTCTGGAGCTGATCGGGCGCAGCGGGCGGCAGCAGCAACAGCTGCAGGAGCAGCACCAGCAGCAGCAGCAGCGGCAGGAGCAGCAGGAGCATTGTTGGCAGCAGCCAGCATCCCGGGCACCATTGGGGATGGACATCACAGGGGATGAGGTGCGGTACGCTATCCAGAGAGCGGTTGAGCGCCAGCACGAGCCCATAATGACGAGCTCTGTGCAATGCCAGCCCCCATCTGCTGCCCTTCAAAGCAACAGCAGCGGCAGCATCGCCTTGAGCGGTGGGGTTCATGGCAGTCGGGGCTCTATACAGGCAAGTTGGCCATCTGACAGCGGAGGTCCCAGGATGAGGCGCAGCGGCAGTGGCGGTGCAGAATGATGCAGCAGGCGTGGCGCTTGCAACTCGGGCAGTTTGGCTCATGGCTGGGTTGCGAGGCAGAACGAAGCCTCATCAATCTGGGACCGGAGGGCGCTGTGCTGCCCACTACAAGGAAAGGCACCGCTTGGGGTGGCCCTGTTGTAAGGATGCTTGCCAATACCAATGAGATATGGTGCGGTCTGCGGTGCGACGTACGCTGCCGCAGCGGCGCCGCATTGCTGATTTCATGGACGCATGGAATCGGCCATTGATGTCTGTACGTGAACGAGTGAAGCGGCCAACTCCACGTCAATGTCTGATCACATTGTTGGCAGGTTGCAGACACAGCGGCATGCGACACCGCCGTGTCGCACCAGGCGCGGGCGGGTGCACGAGTTGTCATCCCACGCAAGCCCCGCAGCCTTGTGTGTGAATGTGTGTGTGTGTGTGTGTACGTGCATACGTGTGTGTACCCAAGTGTGCTCATGCCACACACATGCACTGCACATTGCACGGTCGCCGGCAGGCCGCGCGCAATCTGTACTTCCATGCGATGCGCAGCAGCGGGGATTACCCATCCCGCCAGGCCGGAGCCATCCGTGACAAAGCCGTCCTCAATGCATGACACCGTCATGCTGCCAGTCATGGGCAGGAACCCATGCCAGAGGAGCGAAATTGCACCCGCAGGGACGGCCCCGTGCGGCCGGGCAAGCAGAGCCATCCAGTGTTATTAGGCCTGTGATGGTGAGGACACCTCACTCGTTTTCTACAGGACGATGTGCTGCACACCAAGGATACACGCATTCAGTTTCTAAATCAGATACAAACACTGCGCCCAACCTCCCTGGAAACGCATGGGCGCAGCGGCAGGCACGCGACCGTGAGACCGCACTGCTCGTGCTGGGCGAAGCGGTTTCCCTAGTGATGGGGTGACTAGTGATGGTGCGGCGAGTGCTGCCGGAGCACCGCGCATGTGTCCGCCAGACTTGCCAGGTTTGTGATCACATGGACCCTGCATAAAACGTGCAACAGCCTGGTTAGGGCCTGGGCCAACTCCTCTTTGCAGCGCCTCCTCTCCGATCTGATTAGGTCGGGCTGCAAAGTCAAGGTTACAATTCGCAATAAGATAGATCAGCCCAAGTACATTGCATATTGTGCCCCACCGTCATCGTTCGTTGCGTTGCTCATACGCCGTGGACATTCCTGTTCTGCATTTCGCCCTTTGTGCCTAGTGTGTGCGGGCAATTGGCAGACTGCAAGCCGAACTGAGCACATAACACAGTACATCGATCAGTCAGTGCGGTGTCACCCGTGCGTGGCCACGATCCGGCGCCGGAGCGCAACCGCTGCGCTGCGCGCTGCTGCAAGGGGCAACCCGGTGGGCCCAGACGCCCCGGCTGCGTGATACGTCTCTGCGCAGCGGAGCAGCACCCCAACAATGGCGCGTGGGGCGCGCACTGCCGAGCTTGCCGCGCTGCTCCTGGCCGCTGCGCTCGTCGGGAGTGCAGCGGCGGCGTGGCACCAGTGCGTTGCTCAGGGCCTGTATGGTGGCGCCTACGGCTACCAGGCGGTAGCGAACCTCTCCGAATTCCGCCTTGGCCTGATCAAGTGCGTTTCCCCGCGGACGCACCCCCCAGCGGTGTACACGGCGGCCTGCTGCCCGGATTCACCCCCCTGTGCCGCGCCGCGCGGACTCGCGCCTCGGCAGAGAATGTCGGGCGCCTCGGAACGGCCGCGCCGCCGCCGCTTCCCTCTGCCACCAGCCCCCAAGCCGCTCCTCACACCCCACGCCGTCCCCCCCCCCCTGGCAGCTCCGTCTGGCCGTACACAATCAACAAATCCAAGGAGGACGTGCACAGCTGGAAGCGCTATGACGCTTTTAACCCCTTCATCGCATGGTGGGCCTCTCGACCCGCAGTGATCCCCCCACCCCACCCCCAGGGTCACACACACACACACACACACACACACACACACACACACACACACACAAATACGCACACCACACCCCTGGGACGAGAGCTGCTGTGACCCTCACTGGAGCCCGTTTGACCGTCCGGGCGCCAGAGCACCGCCGCGGCACGCACGCACACACGAGCAGCTCTGGCACGTGGCAGCAGCTGCTGCGTGGCCGCGGCTCCTGGGGTGGGCGCACCCCGCCTGCCCGCCCGACCCCGCGGCTGCTCCACGCAGCTGGCTTCTTTGACACCCCGACACCCCCAAAACTGCTGCACGCCCGCCCCCGCCTCCCCCGAGCAGCCCCCCGAGCCAGCCGCTGCGCCGCGTGGGCTCCGAGGCGGACGGCGGGAAGATCATATGCGACGTGTCCAAGCTGGCGCCGCCCTGCGTGATCTACTCCCTAGGCAGCCAGGGGGACTTCACCTTTGAGAGAGACGTGAGGCGCCGCGCAGCAGCCGCAGCCACAGCCGCAGCCACAGCCGCAGCCGCAGCCGCAGCGGCCGCCGCTCTGTGAAGGGGAGGGTGTGGCCGCGCTCGTGTGCACACATCATTCGGCGCTCTGTGAGGGCGCGCGCCGGGCCCGCCGCTCGGGGCCGGGCCGAGGAACCCGCACGCCTGGGTGTTCACGCGGTCGTGGGCTCGTGCCTGAAAAGTGGTCGCCCGCCTCCCCCTCCCTGTGCCCTGGCCGGCCCGCAGATGCTCAAGCTCACCAAGTGCGAAATCCACACCTTTGATTGTGAGTGCGGCCAACACATTGATACTCGCGGCGGCAAAGCGGCGTCCGGCCGTCTCTCAGCCGGGCTGCGAGTCTATCGCGAGCGCGGGGAGCTGCATGTGCGCGGCTGCGGCTGAGGCGGAGGCTTTCTCCAGGGCCGGTGTGAGCGCCGGCCGCGCCTGCGCCGCTCGAACCCGCAGGCACGTACGAAGGCGCGTCCATAGACGAGCGCCACCACTACCACAAGACCTGCCTCGGGTTCCCCACGCAGCCGCTGTGAGCGCCGCGCACCACGCTTTATGGGGCGGCCCCGGCTTCCGCACGCGCGTTCTCCCAGCAGCGGGGCCCATATGTGTGTGTGTGTGTGTGTGTGTGTGTGTGTGTGTGTGTGTGTGTGTGTGTGTGTGTGTGTGTGTGTGCGTGTGCTGGTGAAGCCCCCGAGGCCGCATGTTCTCACGTAGCTGGCACGGTGGCGCTTGCATCACCCGCAGGTTTGAGGACTACGCGAGCATTACTCATCGGCTGGGCCACAACGTGGTCGACTTCCTCAAGATCGACATCGGTGAGTCATCGGCCGCTGATCTGTGGGCAGCTGTGCAGGGGGGCTCGACCGCGGGGCAGGGTCGGTGGGCGCTTCATTACTGCCGACAATTAGGAGCTCCATGGCGAGCGCCGCCACACGCGACGGGCCCGCTTTCGAGCCCGCGCTCCGCCATGCTGTCGCCCCCGGCTGGCGCCCCCGCTGCTTGCCGGCCGCCCCGCCTACCCATCCCCGAGCCCCGCCCACTCCAGCGCCCCCCTCTCCACAACTTGCATGTGCGCGCGCCCTCGTCGCGCGTCCCAACCCCCTTTTACGCAAACCCTCAACCCCGACCCCCCCAGAGGGCCACGAGCCGAGCGTGCTGCAGTCGCTGGTGCTGAACCGCGGCCACCTGCCGCGCCAGATCACGATCGAGATGCACATGCGCAACGCGGTGGGGGCCATCGCGCCCGTCGACACCATCCAGATGTCCATCCTATTCTATCACATGGCGCTCCTCGGATACGGTGGGCGGCCGCCGCTGCGATCTGGGGACGCGGCCGGCCGCTTGACCGACCTGCATATGTGGTTGCTGCATGCCTGGGGTGCCTCATTTCGTGCATGTCAAACGCAGCGGGGGGTTACGGGCTGGCAGGTCGAGGGTGGGGCAGGGGTGCTGGGCGCTCGCAGGGCCTGGCCGTTGCCAGCGCGTCAGGGGGCCGCGCGTGCTCGCGCGCCCGTTGCCCGCAACGAGCGCTCCCCATCCGACCACGGGGCCCGCGCCGGCCGCCGCAGGCATCGTGAGCAGGGAGGACAACCTCTGGGGCGTGCGCGGCTGCTGCGCAGAATTCACGTTCCTGCACGTGGAGCACACGCACAGGTGCGCGCTGCTGTGCGGCTCTGCGACGCGTTTCAGGGGGGCCTGCGCCTCCGCCTCCGCCTCCGCCACGCTCTCTCATGGCGCCGCCAGGTTTTCTGGTTGTTGTCGTCGGCAGCAGCTGCGGCGGCGATGCTGGCCCCCGCCGTTGGCGCCGGCGCCTGCCTGCTCACCTCGCCGGCCGCCGACCCACGCCGCGCAGGCACCACCACCGCGGCGGCCAGGCCCAGAAACGCGCGACGCCCGCCGGCTTGGCGGACGCGGCCGCCGCCCCTGGGGCAGTCGAGCTGCTGCCGTCGGCGTCGGCGTCGGCCGCGGCCGCGGCGGAGGACATCCCTTGGGGCACGCCCGTCACCGTCACGGGGCCGACGCCGTCCCTGGGGTTCCCGGGGCTCAAGGAGCTGTCAGATAAGGTCAGGGCAGACGACGCGACGGAGAGGGCAAAGGCCGTCGCCCTCAGCGGCGCGCCCGACGCTGGCCGCCGCCGCCGGCGGCGTCGCCTCCGGCGCTACCCGGGCCTTGGGCTGTTCGGCGGCGGTGGCAGTGGCGGGGGCGGCGGCGGTGGCGTGGACGGCAGGGGTGGTGGCGCCCGACGCAGGCTGCTGACCGGGTGGCAGGGTTCATATAAGTGGGCGGCGGTCGGCACGTGGGAGGCGCCGGCGGGGCAGGAGGCCGACGAGTAAGTCAGGAAGCTGCAGGGCAGCTGCACGCCAGCTGCGGGCCAGCTGCCGGTTGCTGGCGGTGGCGGTGTGGCGGAGGACGTTGACTGAACCCGTGGCCTTCGTTTCGCCAAGGCCTCGTGCCCTTTTTGTTTCCCTGCCTGCCTGGTGTGCATTCTGCAATCTGCTGGCTGCGCCAGTCAGGGGGGGCCTCAGCATCTGCGTGCCGCCGACGAACAAACGGCCAGCGTGCATGGCGGGGCGCCCTCGCAGCATGCGGGCCGAGGCACCAGGCTGTCTCTGCTTCTAATTCGACCATTCGCTTCGTGGGTGCTTCCCAGCGGTCCTGGTGTCTACCTTGTCATACCAGATCGCATGCCCCTTCCGGCGCTCAGGGTGGTGCTGCAGCGAATTTGCCCTCAAAAACACACCTCATTCGTGGGCCTGATATTCGCAAGGATGAAGATACCAGATGCTCTCTGATCCAAGTGCTGAGTTAGGCGCTCACGTGTGCCTCTCTGCATCGTCCATCAACCCGCCTGCTTGGCGATGTGTCGGCTGCTATCAACGGCCCACCACAGCTACCGTAATGCAGTTTTAGACAGTTATGAGTGCACGATGCTGTAATGCTGCAAAACCTGTCAAAAAGGGCAAGATGGCGGGGCCTGTTGCTCAGCTGCAGGCGGATGTCGACCGCGGCAACACGTCACCACGGTGATTGCAGCGGTGCCCATGGGTCAAACGCTGATCACCGCAAGCTGGGTGGACTTTTTCAACAGTCATTGAACACTTATCGTCTAATAAGCTTCGTCACGGTGTGAGACGGTCATGGAAAAGTCCCGCTGGCCTGTAGATCTCTACTGACACATTCCTTGCACAAACAACTCCTGAAAAACGTGTATATAAGCGATTTAAATGGCTCACTCCGCAGCGCTGACTCAGCCGGGCCACCCTACACGCGCGGCTGCTGTGGGCTGCACGGCTGCTCGTGCTGCTGCCATCAATCGGCAACGTGCCGCCCGCTGCAGGGCGGCAGCAAATGCCCCAGCGTTTGCGGATGCTGCAGGAAATCACAATGCCGACATTGATCCTCGCGTGTACCTAGATGTGGCCGTGTGCCCTGTGCCATTCGTCGGCCCCGTCGCTCCAGCTGCTATCAAGGGTGCGCGGCGATGGTGTGCCCAGCCGTGCCCGTTTTCTGGTGGAGGCTGGGGGCCTACGCTGCGCTTTGTGACATCCTTGCAACACGCAGCATCAGGCGCTGAGCACATGACTCATGCTGCGCATCGTCATCGGGCGCTGCGCAGGCAAGGGCAGGGGCCTGGTGGCGACGGCCGACCTGGTGCCTGGGCAGCTGCTGCTGGTGACGCCGCCGATTGCGTTGGTCGAGGGTGATCTGGGTGACATCCCAGATCATGATGTGCTGCTCGATGAAATCACATCGGGCCGCGTCCGTCTTGGCGCCTGGCAGGCCGCGTGGCTGGCGGCGCTCACCGCGGACGGCAGCACCAGCGAAAGCAGTGAGAGCGATGGCAGCGGCGGCGGCGGCGGCGGCGGTGCGGCGGCGCTAAAACTACCTAGTCTGCTGGCCCCGCCTGTGGGTGCAGAGAAGAGCGGCGTTGGCGGCGGCGTCGGTGGCGGTGGCGTCGAGTTCCGGCAGCTGGGGATGAGCGAGGAGCGGCTGTGGGCGGCGATCGGTGAGCGCAGCGAACCAGTGTCGCCTGCGCTCTCGTGCAACACGCGCCCGTCCCCCCTGCTTGCTGCCCCCGCATGGCCTGGAGGTGGCAGGCTGTGCAATGCCTGCGGCGCTCCACGCGCCGTGGGTGCGCCTCCAGCGACCGCCTTCAGCGACCACAGACACTGCTGGGCACGAGAACCCCGCCGCGCAACCAAGCGCTGGCTGCCATCTTGCCATCATAATGATGCCACCACCCCACTCCCTCTATTACCATTTGCTGCTCCCCTTAGACATATTGATCAAAGCAACCCTTACTTGTGCCCGCAACATTCACCCACCCACTTGCATCCACGGCCCCCACCCGTTCACCTGCACCTCTGCAACTTCCAAACAGTGCTGAATTGTTACGGGGAGCAGTTCCAGGATCTGCCTGCCTCTCTCTGTGCCGGCGCGCCCCTGACCAGCCAGCTGGGGCTCTGGGGTCCCTTCTCTCTGCTCAACCACTCCTGCAGGCGCGCGGCCTGGCCTGCCGCAGAGACAAACGCGCACGGCAGCGGCGCAGGGGAGGGCTGGACGCATGCCGCGGCGGCGCGGCCCATGCACGCCGCTCTTTTTGCGTGGGATCAGGACGCATATGCATCTGCACACCCTTGCCTGCCCTGGGCAAGGTCCTCCCATGAGCGTTAACACGCAATCAGCACGCTCTGCCAAACACGCCCTGGTCAGACAGCGCATTTCTCTCGTCAGACGGCAGCTGCAAGCACCCCCCCGCAGCCCGACCACCGTCCAGCTCATTTCCCCCATGCGCGCGCAACCTGGCGCGCGCTCCCGCCCCGGTCAACGCAGCCCCAACGCGGTCAACTACTGCCTGAGGGACGCAATGGTCGTGCGCGCCGGGCGTCGCGTGGCTGCCGGCGAGGAGGTCCAGATCAACTACCTGGGGCGCGGCGCGCTGCGGCCGCTGGGGCAGAGGCGCGCTGAGCTGGAGGGGGGCTACGGGTTTACATGTGCCTGCGACAGGTGGGAGGCAGGGGACCCGGCAGGTGGCTCCCAGCTAGGTCGGCCGGCAGCGCCGGCTCAGGCAGGCGTGGCGGGGCCGGGCGCTGCGGGCCCGCCCGTGCGTGGCGCCGGGTAGGCGATGCGATCGATGGGGGGCGCAGGTTTATGGCGTTGAGCCGACGCCGGAGAGGCTGCAGCGCGTCCCCACTGGGTTGTGGATTGGACCGGGGATGCGTCAGCCCGCAGTCGTGCCGTCGAAAGGCGTGGCCTGCAGTGGCACCGGGGGGACTCGGTCAACAAGCTATGAGAGCAATGGCATCCTCAATGGTTTCGTTCAAGCGCAGATGCTTGTCAGAAGAGCGCCTCACAACCGCTTCGCCGCTCGCCTTCGTTCGTGCGGATGAGGCCGCGGGCGATGCGGCCGGCAGCGCCAGCAGCGGGAACGGCGGCGGCGGCGGCGGCGGTGCTGACAGCGAGCGCGTGCTGGGAGATATTTTGGAACGGATATATGAGGATGTGGGGTCACGGCACGAGCCGCGATTGGTGGCGCTCGCGCGGGGCGGGGACGGCGGCGGCGAGTTGGAAGGGGGCGCAGGAGATGGCGGCGGCGCTGGCGGCACCCAGCCGCAGCAGCCGGATCAGGAGCAGGAGGCCGCGGCGCGCAGGGAGGCGCTGCTGCTGTTTGCGGATGACATGAAACGCCGTTGGCGGGACCTACACGCAACACTGCCGGGTGCCCTCGCTAGTGACGAGCACAACAGCGGCGGCGGGGACGAAGCGGACGGCGGCGACGCAGCGACGGTCGCCGGCGCGGCCGCGTTCGAGCTGCTGAGCCTTGCTGCCGAGGCGCTCGAGGCGGCCGGCGCGCACGACGAGGCTGTGCTGCGCGATCTCGCTCAGATCTGCGCGGCGACGTGCCCCGGGAGCGATCTGGCTCTGTTCCAGGCGCTGAGGCGTGCGAGCGTCGCGCAGCGGCGCTGGGCGGCGGGCGGCCGGGCGGTGGGGGCGGATGGAGGTCCAGGGGGCGGGCAGGCGGAGGGCGCCGCGGACAGCGGCGAGGAGGTGGGGGCGCTGCGGCGGGCGCTGGGGGCGCGGTACGGGGAGGCGGTCGTGCGGGATGGGGCGCTGATGGAGCGCATGAGCGCCGCGGCGAGCGAGGCCGCTGCGATGGTGGCGTTTTAGCGCGCAGGGGTGGCCCCCTGGTGCGATTGCAGGGATGAAATTTGTGGGGGCACCTCATGCGCCCGTTGGTATGGGTGGGCAATGCCAGGTCCTGCAGCTCGGTGACCAGGCAGCACACCTCACCAGCATACACATCATGAGTAATTCATAATTGCGTGAGTGCCGATTGGGCTGGCTGAGTCGTCGGGCACCTATGTGGGGCTGGCGCGGCACGATGACGCTATCAAACACATGATGCACACATTGGTCCGCAGGGGTCGTACGCCGAGCATGGCTCTTGGGCCTGAATGCGGCGCCGTTTGGCAACGCAAGTGGGCACTTGCCCAAGTGCCAGCCAACACATGCCACCTTGCCCACATCCACATGCACGCATATAACTAGTTGTGTATTGCTCACGCGATCACGTAGGATGATGTGCGGTGCAGCCTCGCATTACTGGTGCAGGTCACGTCGCTGGCCGTGAAGCTGCGCAGTGTTCTGTGTGGACGGGCCTGATCAGGGCGTTCCGCGCAGTCCTGCCACTTCTGATTTGATGAACAGGCATGATTATTGTTTCTTTTGACAACCTGCATTCACAAGCGCTTCTCCCGGCACTCCCAACCAACGTGATCTCGCAGTTGCACGTAGCCGGTGATCGGGCGCAGCGCTTGACAAGGTGAGTTGGTTTGCTTCAGTTCATTTGACGTCCCCAAATAATCCGACCTGAGCTATATCGCACTCGTCTCGGCGGGCGTTTTCCGGGAGCCAGCCCTCGCTTCCGGAGAGCCTTCCCGATCGGCGTATCAGGCTCGCCCTTCACCATTTCGCAATCTTTCCGATCAGATGTTGACCTACAACCGCACGATGAGCGCCGTCGCTGGCCAGCGCCGCCCGGCCGCCACCGCCGCCGCGCCGCGCGTGTTGCGCCCGGCCGCAGCGCGCGCCCGTCGCGTGCGCGTGGTCTCAGAGTACCGGGAGGCAGATGCCGCAACTGCCCCTGCGGCGGCCCCAGAGGCCGCTGCACCAGTTGCCAAGGATCTGAAGCCCCTGGTACGGGTCGACGGCGCCCATGATAATGACTCGCCCGCGGCACCGACCATGCGGCTCC